ATGTCCTTTTTTCTCCTCATCACTTCTGTGGATGTGTCTGAAGAGGACATTAGAAAATATGCACATTTTACTAGCTTACCAAATTTCACAGCCTGTGTCTTGTCTGTGGGAAGTTTGGATGAGGTGAGCATATTTGGCATGTGGGAAAAATGCAAATCATTGTGGCCAAGAAGACAGACTGGTAGATTTCATTATCACCTCAATTCTTCATCCTTTCCTGCACACAAACTTTTGGCCATGTGACTTTTCAGTCCAGTAGGCCAGGCATAGTGGCTCACACCTGTAATCCCAATATTATGGGAGGCCGAAGCAGGAAGATTGCTTAAGGCTAGGAATCTGAGGCTAGCCTCGGCAACACAGTAAAACCTCTCTACCAAAATTCTTAATTAAGCCAGCCATGGCGGTGCTTGCCTCGAGTCAGCTGTTCAGCAGGCTGAGGTGGGAGGACAACTTGAGCCCAGGAGTTTGAGGCTGCAGTAAGCTACAATAGCACCACTGCATTCCAGTCTGAGCAACAGAGCCAGACTTTATCTCTAAATAAATAAAAGCATTTTTCCACCCCTTGTCTTGGGGCTTGGCCATGTGGTTTGCTTTAGCCAATGGGATGTTGGTTGGTAAGTCACAGGCAAGGGCTTGCCCTGCGCAGTGGTGACTCTGCCTTCATTAGAAGAACATGCCTGGGCTAACCCACCAGACCCAAGAGAAGGATGAGAGACATTTGGAGTAGAGCTGTCCCAGCTGCCTAAGCCGGAAGAAGAGTGAGTAACAGGCCAGCCTGCATCAGCTGAGCCCCAGCTGACTCACAGGCTCATGAAGGCTAATAAATCATTGTTGTCTCAAGCCACTGTGTTGTGAAGTATTTATTATGCAACAATGGCAAACCAATATACTTGAAAAAATAAGGCATTTGCACAAAAACCTTATGTAGCATTATAAGCTAAACTGTGACCCTCGAAATTGAGATGAAGCCCTAACCCCCTGAAAGATTCTCTGTTGACCAAAACTTAGCCAAGCTTTTAAACTTATCTACTAAGTTCACCTGTGCCACTCTCCTGTAAAACCTAGTTTTAGCAAAGAATCCTGCTAAATCAGTGTATTAGTCCATCCTCACACCACTATTAAGAACTCCCTGAGACTGAGTAATTTATAAAGAAAAGAGGTTTAATTGACTCACAGTTCCACATGGCTGAGGAGGCCTCGGGAAACTTACAATCATGGCAGAAAGCAAAGGAGAAGCAAGGCACCTCCTTCACACGGCAGCAGGAAGAAGAAATGCCAAGCAAAGTGGGAAGAGCCCTTATCAAACCATCAGATCTCGCGAGAACTCACTCACTATCATGAGAAAAGCGTGAGGGAAACCCTCCCCCATGATTCAATTACCTCCTCCTGGTCTCTCCCTTGACCGGTGGGGACTATGGAGATTATCGGGATTACAATTCAAGATGAGATCTGGGTGGGGACAGAACGCCTAACCACATCAGTCAGTTTAGCAAGAACCCCCCACCCTCAACATCGGATCGTTCATGACATCTGATCAGGTTCCTCATCCCCCAGGTGATATATGATGATCCTGGCCTGTCTTCAGCTAGAATCCTGTTAAGTGGGTTTAGCCACAATCCCACTTACCTCTGATGTTTTCTCTTAGTAATTTCCAAACCACCAACACCCACCCTGCTCCTTGACTATAAAGTTCCACTTGCCCATGCTATATTCAAAGTTGATCCCAATCTCTCTCCTTCATTCCAAGATCCATTGCAGTAGTCTCTATAGCCATCTCAATGGCCCCGAATAAAGTATTCCTTATCATGCTTTAACAAATATCATTGAATAATTTCTTCTTTAACACTCCAATGTGACTCTATTTGGAGACAGGGCCTTTAAGGAGGTAACTGAAGTTAAATGAGATTGGTTTTAAGATGGAATCCTAATTCAATAGGACTGTGTCCTTGTAAGTAGAGGAAGAAATTGCTCTCTCAACATGAACACATGTGGAAGGGCCATAAGGACACTGCAGAAGGTAGTCAACCTAGAAGTGAGGACAGCAGTCATAGCAGAAGCATTTGTTGAGTGCATATCATTGGTCAGGCACCATGCTAAGAATTTTACACTTATCAGTCTCTGTCGTCTTAGTGAAAGTCTTCCCTCTCCCTGATATCAACATCTCCCTTCCTGTTCTTGGGGGCAGAATGTATCACCTTGGTTTCCAAGTAGGTGTTTCTCGGTTGTGAACCAAGGGGCCTAATGTGAACAAGATATAGGTGTGGGGGGCAGATTGGGAAACGTGCTGTGTGCTTTGTCCCCTCCTGACCCCAGAGTGTCATACTAATGTTAATAGAGCCTGGAATAGAGGGGGACAGGAAATAAAATGCTAGAAAGAAAATGAATATTAGTACTTTGTGAGGATGCTGATGGGAGTATGGATGAGATCAATGATATTGGAAGCCTAACACAGGGTCTCTCACACCACACATATCCAGTAGACATTTACATCCAATAAACACTGGTTACATGCATGCATCAATAATTTAATTTTTTTTTAATTTTCCAACATAAGCTGATATTCTCCCTACTTGCTAGTCAGAGCCACTAGCACAAAAATTTTAGTACTGTAGCCCAGAGGTAGTATTTATTGAAGGAATTTTAATTTTTAAAGCTATTTAAATAGCATATTTTAATATTAAAAATAGCCATATAACTATTTCCATTATATATTCCTGACTTTATAAATTGAAATTTGTAAATACTGGTTTTAGCTACCTATGTTTGGTATTAAGAGTATCTGCTATTTACTAAGGTTCAATCAGGACAATTATTTTTTTTCCCCAGAGAACTCCCATGGACTAATTCAAAGATCCTGAGTCGAACAATTACAGGGTTGTCCTCTTGACTCTTGACTAAACTGGGGCTGTCTTAGAGAAGACCACAGCAAGTGATCACCATGTTTCATTGATAGTTCAAGGAAACTTCATGTCCAATAGGAAGCCTTGAGGTGCTGCCACCTATACAAGCCTTTTCCATGGGCTCAGGGCCTGGGATGATTTTCAGGTGAGTTCCTAGAGGGTCCTAGCTCACCACTAGCCAAATTTATCCTAAGCAGACAGACCTTTCTCTATTTAACTCAGAGAAATAACCACACTCAGAAATGCTAGGAAAAAATGTACTATTTGTAGAAAACTATTTACTCAAAGGGCTTAACCCCTTCCACGGAAGCCATGAAGGTGTAATGTTGCAGCAGGTCATCCCCCATTGGAGTTTTCTTTTTTCTCAGCTCACTGCAACCTCTGATTTCCAGGCTCAAGTGATCCTCCTGCCTCAGCCTGCTGAGTAGCTGGGATTAGAGGCATCCACCACCACACCTAGCTGATTTTTATATCTTTAGTAGAGGCAAGGGTTTCACCATGTTGGCCAGGCTGGTCTTGAACTCCTGGCCTCAGGTGATCCACCCACCTCAGCTGCCGAAAGTGCTGGGATTACAGGTTTGAGCCACCTCACCCAGCCGGAGCATTTTTTGTAATAACAAACCAGGCTGCGTGCAGTGGCTCATGCCTGTAATCCTAGTGCTTTGGGAAGCTGAGGCAGGTGGATCACTTGAGGCCAGGTGTTTGAGATCAGCCTGGGCAACATAATAAAACCCCATCTCAACAAATATTTAAAAATCATCTGGATGCAGTGGCCTGTGTCTGTAGTGTCAGCTACTAGGGAGACAGGGTGGGAAGATCACTTGAGTTCAGGAGTCCCAGGGTTCAGTGAGTCATGAACTCAATATTGCACTCTAGCCTGGGTGACAAAGCAAGGACCCTGTCTCAGAAAAAAAAAAAAAAGCAAAGAAAGAAACAATAAAACATTGTTTGAATAAACTATGATGCAGCCATATAAAATAATTGAAAGAAAATGTTTGAAAGAATAAGTTTGGTCCATATGCAATGATATGGGAATGTCTACAAAATATAAAATTAAACCGAAAAATAGAAAAGACAAGGTGTAGAAGGGTTGATATTGATCCTGTGAGTATTTTCTCAAAGGATAAACATTTACAATGGTGAACTATTTGAATAGTGATGTAATCTTTGTTCCTGATATTTCCTGTTTCTCTGTGACCTTTTTGCCATTCCAGAAGCAGTCAGAATATTCTACCTGCACTGCCTCAAAGAAACACTACACAGAGAACAAAGATGTCAATTCCTGGCTTTGGACATTTTAAACAGGCTATTGATTCTGCTGCCATAATAGCTTTGAGAGGTTTGAAAGCTAATGCTCTTGAGTTATAAGACTCAAAAGCCAGTTATAAGACTGGCTTTCAAAATGCACATCATTTATGCCACAAGCCATCATGTTGGAAGAATGTGCACTCAGTTGGACCCATTTTTGCTCACTCTCAGATTAAAAGAGATTCCATGGACCAGGAAAGGGAAGTGAGTTAACTGCAACTGGGTCCCTAAGAAAGGGCCCTTTCCAACCAGCACCAGGGAAGGATATGGTAGAAACCCCAGACATACCGGGATATCTGAGAGGAGAGAAGATGTGGCCTCACTACAGGGAGGTGGCAAACATTCCAGAGTTCCTCATGTGCTGCAGGACATGGCAGCAGAAGAGCAGAGACAACCAAGCAGGATGGCCCTGAGACATCATACATTGGCCCTGTGCAACACCCAATCAGGAATAGGGAGAATCATTCCTGAGGCACCCAGAAGGGTCCCAGAAGTAACTGAGAAGCCAGATCTCAGAGGCCTTGAAACCAGAATGAGAAAATCTGCAACAGCTGTCCACATGGGCCACGGGCTGGATACTGAATGGGGCAAGAGCCCCAAAATGCTGAGTGGCAATCGACACCAAGGAGCTCCTACACCTCATCCACTTCACTTCACACCTCGCACCCCATCACCCTCCATCTATCACCCCTCAAAGCTCAATCACAACTTCAGGAAAGGGCAGGGGTAAACCCTGAAATGTCTGTACTTAAGTTCATACCTCCCAATGGCAACTTGAAAACAGAAGTAATTGTACTCACTTCAGCAGCACATACACTAAAATTGGAACAATAGGGAGAAGATTAGCATGGCCCCTGTACAAGGATGACATGCAAATTCATGAATCATTCTATATTTTTACAAGAAAAAAACAATCCCATCAAAAAGTGGGTGAAAGATATGAACACTTTTCAAAAGACGACATTTATGCAGCCAATGAACATATGAAAAAGCTCATCATCACCGATCATTAGAGAAATGCAAATCAAAACCACATTGAGATATCATCTCACACCAGTTAGAATGGCAATCATTTAAAAATCTGGAAACAACAGATGCTGGAGAAGATGTGGAGAAATAGGAATGCTTTTACACTGTTGGTGGAAATATAAATTAGTTCAACTGTTGTGGAAGACAGTGTAGCAATTCCTTAAGGATCTAGAAACAGAAATACCATTTGACCTAGCAATCCCATTACTGAGTATATACCCAAAGGATTATAAATCACTCTATCATAAAGACACATGCATACATATGTTCATTTTGGCACTGTTAACAATAGCAAAGACTTGGAACCAACCCAAAAGCCCATCAATGATAGACTGGATAAAGAAAATGTGGCACATATACACCATGAAATGCTATGCAGCCATAAAAAAGGATGAGTTCATGTCCTTTGCAGGGACATGGATGAAGCTGGAAACCACGTTTCTTAGCAAACTGACACAAGAACAGAAAAACCAAATACCACATGTTCTCACTCATAAGTGGGTGTTGAACAATGAGAAAACATGGACACAGGAGGGGAACATCACACACTGGGGCCTTTTGTGGGGTGAGGGTATGGGGAGGGATAGAGGGGGTGGGGGGATTGGGGAGAGATAGCATTAGAAGAAATACCTAATGTAGATGACTAGGGGATGGATGCAGCAAACCACCGTGGCATGTGTATACCTATGTAACAATCCCACACAATCTACACATGTACCCCAGAACTTAAAGTATAATAGATATTCTTATTGCCAAAATTAATAAAAATAGATTATTCCTTTAAAAAGTAAACAAAATAAAAGTATATAAATTTTTCTTAAAAAGAAAATAGAAGTAATTCATGTTGTAGGAAAACATACTATTAATAATTCTACTTCCTGCCACCTGAATGTATAAGCTGAAATTTGCCCGTTTAGAATCATCTATAGAAATGTCTGAAACTCTAACAATGGCCACTCCTAGAGAATGGAACTGGAAAAGAGAGGATGTAGACTTGCATTTTTCATTTTCTTCTCTCTGGATGGTTAGTTTTTTAACTATATGCAATATATCCCCACTACTTGGGAGGCTGAGGCAGGAGAATCACTTGAACCTGGGAGGTGGACGTTGCAGTGAGCTGCAATTGTGCCATTGCACTCCAGCCTGGGCAACAGAACGAGACTCCATCTCAAAAAAAAAAAAAAAAAAAAAAAAAAAAAAGTCTCCAGTTTCCCACAACAAACACAGTTTTTAACATTTTTGGTTATTATGAGCTTTCCAGCTAAAGAATTGCTTTCCCAGGAAGTAAAATAAGATCTATATAATTAAATAAATATAAGTAAATAGACACTGCTTTGACTTGTTGGAGGTACTTGGGGGATGATACACATTCCTGGAAATTGAGCATTGACTTTATCAGAGCCTCAAGGTGGTTGTAGCATCTCCCCTGGTAAAGATACAGCTCTGGAATCATACACTGGTAATAATGGCATTTTCTCTTCTAATCCCCTGAAGTCAAAACAAGACTCTGCCCAGTTTCTTCTGACCTCCCTTTGTTCTGTTACCAGCCAATCATTCCCAGGCTGCAATTGTTTTTATGGTGTTATTCATCATGTCAAAGGATATCCACAAAGCCCTGACTGCTTCCTAAACTTTACCCTCTGCTTCTTCCACGATGTCCTTGAATAAACTCCAGACGCCATGGAACTTGCACTTAAATATCTATCATGGTGTTCTCATGTGGCTCTCATTACTCACACACTTTTGAGAACTATTATGGTTTAAGACAATTCACCAGAACACAAAATAACTGGCAGACAGAGATTAAACAACATGCATTGCAAAATACACTCAACTCAGGACAAAATCATAAAGCAGTCATCCTTTGAAAATATTTGCAGTTTGGTGCGATAATGACCATTGCCCTGACATAGAAAAACCAATGTATATGGAGAAAAAAGTATAATCTGAAGAGTTAGCTTTCACTGTCCGAGGGCATACTGTGGAAGAATGATGCTCTACACTATATTTGGATCAAAATCTGCACGAGTCACCCATTATTTCCAACAGTCCTACAGGGAGGAAACGAGATTAGAATTGGTTGCTTTCTGACTAACAAGAGAATACACACAGTATATCTAGTAGAAAGTCAATTAGCATAAAGCTAGTCAATTCATTTATGAGAGTGGTGGGTTAATCAACATGAGACTGGGGAATTCATACACAGCTTAAGTAAGCAAATTCAATTTTCTATACAAACAATTTGTGGTTTAAGTAAATCATCACAGGCCAGGTGTGGTAGCTTACTCCTGTAATCCCAGCACTTTAGGAGGCCAAGGCAGGCAGATCACTTGAGGTCAGGAGTTTGAGACCAGCCTGATCAGCATGGTTAAACCATGTCTCTACTAAAAATACCAAAATTAGCTGGGCATGGTGATAGGCACCTGTAATCCCTGCTACTTGGGAGGCTGAGGCAGGAGAATCACTTGAACCTGGGAGGTGGAGGTTGCAGTGAGCTGAGATTGTGCCACTGCACTCCAGCCTGGGCAACAGAACGAGACTCAGTCTTAAAAAAAAAAAAAAAAGTAAATGACTCCAATTTCCTACAACAAACACAGTTTTTAACATTTTTGATTATTATGGGTTACTATGAGCTTTCTAGCTAAAGAATCGCTTTCCCAGGAAGTAAAATAAAATCTATATAATTAAACAATGGAATTACTTAAAAGGCCTTTTGCTGCTGCTTCTTGTATTATTCTTGTAAAATAAAATCTATATAATTAAACAATGGAATTACTTAGAAGGCCTTTTGCTGTTTGCTTCAGCAAACATGAATAAAGGAACTGCAATCTTGATGATAAGAAACAAAGCATGTTTAGTTTTAATTTTAATTTTAAATGGGACCTTGGCCCCACCAGGCTGGTCTATAAGGCGTGTCTTGGTTCACCATCATCTTTGGTTAAGGTTCTCTGTCTCATGTTTACCTAGCTGAGACACGCAGTAAAACAACCTCCACTGAAATTTTCAAAGGACTCATCTCAAGATAGAGCCTACCAAGTCTTCCCATAAATTAGAATTGGAGCCCATCGTTTCTAATTCTGTTTAAGGAATTGATTAAAGTTGTAGTTTGGGGTTTCTTTCAAAGTTTGTAATGTTGCTCCTAGCTTCAAAAACATTCAGAGAATGGAAGTTTTATATTAAAAAACACAAGTTACATGCTGTTTTTTGTAACTGATCATTTTATGTATACACACACACATATCACACTTGCCCCAGTCTTGTCCCATCCTGAGGACCCAAACCTCAGCCAGGGGCACCCTGGAGTTTCTGAGGGGGCTGAGGAAGGAGAGAAGGATGGGTCCCTGACCTGCCAGAGTCACAAAGATGTCAAAAGTGAACATGACCCCTCAGTCCAGGCCTGTGCAGGGTTCCATTTTCTGGTTCATGGAGTGGGCTGGGCTAGGAGAAGGAGAGGGCAGGATCTTAGGGTCGTGGCCCCCAGGCCTCACCCTGGGAACAGACTCTGCACGAAGGCAGCCAGATCAGGAAGTGGCTCCATCTTGCTTTTCTCAGTCCATGGAAATAGAATCACCAGGGTATGTGTTATGGTTTCAAAATGGTCCTAGCACAGTGGAGTTTTAACACCAGGGTGGAATAACTCTCAGGAGCATGCACCAGGAGCAGCAGCCCGGCTCTGAGGTCACAAATGAACAACTCCCACAGCCATTAGGTCCAGGACCATCATGCCTTATTAGGTCTCTGAGATGACATTGCTTCTTCATTACTTTCCAGCTAAACAAAATTTATTCTTAAAAAAAAAAAAAAATCACAATCATCTTCAACCTCACCATTTGCACCAGGTATTGAATAACTGTCCCCCATTATGTTTGTGGAAAAGCCACTCTTCCATCAAACCCTTTGCAGCTGTGGTAAGCCTTCACAGGTTTGCATCATTATCCTCTGCTTCTTATTAGTGTCTGATGACCCAAGAGGAAAAGACTATGTCTTCCTGTTTGTTTCATGCACCAACCCATCTACAAATGCACCCAACTTTTGCCTCTTCCCCATCTATGTAAATTTCCTTCACCATAGCTGACACTGGAAATGAGAAGGTAAAGAGCTGTACTTTTGTGAGTCATTTTGCCCAAGAAATTCAAAGTAATGACAGTAGGCTAGAAAGAACCAAGGAATTCCATTCAGAAGACACCATTTCAAAGCCTAGCGCTCACCCTTACTTGCCAGGGCCAAGTTAGGCAGGTTATATTCCTTCTATGAGTCTCAGATTCTTTTTTTGTTAATATCTGCCTCACAATGCTGTTTTGTGACTAAGTAAAATTACATGTATTAGTATGTTAACATAGTGCTTGGCACATAGTGAGCACCCCTTAAATGCTGGGTATTAAATGTAGACTCAGCATATTCACAATGGGTCATTTTCTTATCTGGTGCTACCCAGGTTGCCTCTGATACTTGCAGAGTCCTACAGTCTTCAGAGAAGATCTGTAACCTAGTGAGTCTCTAGAAGTGATTCCTGAGTGAATACAATTCATGATGTGTTTATTAAAGAACCAGCTGAGTGCAGTAGTCCCTGCCTCTAATCCCAGCTACTAGACAGGCTGACGCAGGGGGATCACCTGAGCCCAGGAATTTGAGACCAGCCGTGGCAACATAGCAAGTCCCTGTCTCAAAAAGAGAAAGAGAGAGTATTGCTAAATAAATTTAGTTTTACAATATGATTGCTTTTGTTGCATGAATGATTTAATCATATGTATTACTTCTGAAACATTGACACAAAGTCTACTTTCTCATGAATTTTAATGAAAGGGTTTGAGGTTTTGGGTTTTTTTGGGGGGGTGGTTGAGACAGGGTCTCACTCTGTCATCCAGGATGG